ATCTAACTATCTATCTGACTGTCTATCTATCTATCTTTCTATCTATCTTCTATCTATCATCTATTTATCTATATGTTACTATCTAACTATCTATCTGACTTTCTATCTGTCTGTCTATCTATCTATCTATCTATCTATCTATCTATCTATCTATCTATCTATCTATCTATCTATCTATCTATCTATCTATCTATCATCTATTTATCTATATGTTACTATCTAACTATCTATCTGACTGTCTAACTATCTATCTATCTATCTATACATCGATATGTTTGTATAGTTTTCTATCTTCTATTTGTCTGTCTGTCAATCTATCCATCTAGCTATCTATCTATCTGTGTATTTCTCTGTCTGTCTGTCTGTTCGTCTGTCTGTTTGTCTGTTACTCCTTCTGCCTGCAATGTGTCACATTTTTAACAATTTTTGACAATTTACAATTCTAAAAAGAATTTTGTTACAGGATTAATGATCATATTGTTGTTTGTTAATAATTTACATTTCAGAATAAATTCAATCAACTGCAGTTATTATCATCATTGTAAACATAGATTAATACCAATACAGATAGAAAAATAGATATCGTCTTTTGTTTCGTTCACAATAACCCTGAGGCAGAAGCCCAAAGGAGTTACGCGCATGCTGCGTGAAATGACATAACACAGAGACTTTGGACTTTGGACTTCTGCCTCAGGGTATTGTGAACGAAAAACCGCGAAAGACATCTAGTGTTCTATCTGTATTAATGTATGATTCTAACAAATATAAATCTGGAATTGGAAATTTTCCCTCAATGAAAAATAAGTTTGGCAATGTCCACAAAAAATTCCACAAATCATAATAGATTTTTTTATCTGTTCCAAATTTATTTATCCACCAATCAATCTTTTTACTTTAAATTACCGGCTCCGCTTGTATAGATTTTCCAATAGCTAAGATTAAATAAAGAACAAAAACACGAAATGTACTCGTAATCTACACCCTCAGATATACAGTGAGAACCCATATAACAGTGAAATTATTGTCGTCTTCTTGGTGTAATTTGTAATTTGTAATTTGCAGCTAAACTAAAACAGTGCCCTGGGATCAAATTTATTAAAATGAAAAAGTAGTTGAGCTACGTATACGTAGTTGAACCACATCTCTTCAACTAAGTCTACGTAGTTCAACTAATTCTCTCTATTCATTAAATCTGGTCCCAGAATATTTTAAAGGGACTGTAAGCGTGATTTTAAGTGCCCCTCCTTGCAAAGATGGCAACGCCCGATTTACAATGGTACCATTGAAACCTTGATCTGATCCATACGCTATCTGATCAACGAGATTATAGTGTATAGTGATGATGTAAGCTAATCCTTAACTAATTGTATAGGCCGGGATAGTTTACTGGTATGAATAAGAAATCAAAATTAAATTGATTAATTAAACCGATGATAGTTTGATATATATATGAAATCTAAATGATAGTTTGATATATATATGAAATCTAAATGATAGTTTGATATATATATGAAATCTAAATGATAGTTTGATATATATATGAAATCTAAATGCTGAGAACACGAAAAGCCGATCTTTAAGAGAGCAATTTTGAGTCTTGCCACAAACTTAAATTTCCTAATCCTTATATATTTGCAACAACTAGCTAATGATGATATTGTTTCAATCTTACACAACGAGGTTATATTGTATAGAGTGATGATGTAAGCTAATCCTTTACTAATTGTATAGGCCATCAACTATACCTAGAGCGTACTGCATGTTTTTTATTATAGGGAGATTCTGGCCTAACCTACAGTATATCATTATTAGTAATCAGTTGTAAGTGTACAGTACAGCTAATCTAATCCATACGCTATATGATTATCTGATCCTCATCTGAGAAGAAAACTTCATTTTTTTAAAACTCGAATAGTGTTTATTTCTGTGAATTTCTCCATTGTTTGTGATAAGCAAAAAATGCACAAGTCCCAAATGAAAATAAACAGTTTAAATAAACAAAAACAAGCAAATCTAGTTAAAACTAATTAACACTTGATCTATCAATTAGGTTTTCAGATTACAGTTTCAATCACATCGGTGCATAGAGGGTCACTTGAATATACACTTACAGTCCCTTTCAGAGATAAAATATGAAGTAAAAAGATAAAAATATGAATTCCACATTTTTCTGGTTCTCACTGTCGGTATACACTGTAGGACAGGTTTACAGTGTTGAAAATAAACTCACCACTGCGCCTGAAGTGGAGGCTAAAATCTGGGCCATTGGCCTTGTTTTAGGACTTGAAAACAAATATATTGAAGCCAGAGTTCTGTAGATTATAACAGCCAGGATAAAAATAATCACAAGAGATATCTAAAAATATCAAATTTAATTTTTACAAAAAATAGAAAATGATTTTGTAATTTTTTTGTGTGAGCACATTAATAATGTTTAAATGTAGATACATTGTATAGTTACCATAAGAAGAATGAGACCGCTGCCGGCTGCAATGCGCCGAAGCCGGATGGCTTTAGGGAAAGCCGGTTCCCGGATCCCGGTTATCGGATTCTTCTCTAAATACGGAGCTTTGGCAGCAAAATCTGGTCTAGGTCGCTCCTCCTCATCCTAGCAACACAAAGGGATACAGTGGTCACCAAAAAGTAATAAGAAAAATGTCTTAGAAGCAGAGGCAGAGTCAGGGGTGGTTATGAGGGCTCAGCCCCCCCGCCTGGACCAGTAATATCTTTCGATTTCAGGAGTCCCCCCTGGAACAAAAAAAATTTAAGCCCCCTGGGCAAATTCCTGACTACTGCCCTGCCATTTGGTCATTAAATGGTTTTAAAGTAAGTTGTATTAATTCTAAAATTAATTCTTAATAGAAAATAAATGATTTCCATCGGAAAGGAAATGATTTCAAATGTTGACTGAAAGTGATACCATTTTTAAACGTTCATCTGATCAACATTTAGGAAGCTATGTTCATCTTTCTTTCTTAAAACGTGATATATTCTTAAAATTTACCAATTTTTCTAAATTCCACAAATCCGCAATTCACTTTTATACATAGAAAATTCATAATAATAAAAATTAATTTTGAATCTTTAAAATCTTTTAGAGAAATAGGCTACTCTATACATTGAGGGTCTTCTTAAACAAGTCTATAGTTAAACTACCTAAAATATCACTGTCCCTTAAATGCTTTGAAAAAGAAAATCTTCCCATCTTACCATGGCTAATCTTGCATAACAACTAATACAACTTGGAACTTTTAAAACTTTTAAGTAACTTTTCTTAAAAACTTTTCTGCAGATTTAACTTTTTGAAAGATGTATTGTGAATGGGTTTTCAACAAACTTCGTTACAGATAAATCATAAGCTCTTGACAAAACACACTGCTGCTTAAAGGGAGTGTTCACGTGTTCACAATTGTAACCTAAAACATCTATGGATATATCATTCATCCTTGACCAGACACAGCTCAAGTTTAACTAGAACATGTCGCTCTATAAATCGTGGGTCACGTGAGAAAGTACGTTTAAAGTTCATTTAGTTGTCAAAATTTTCGTTTTTATTATCGTCCTTTTTTACATTTTTTACCAACTTGTATTTGACAGCAAAACTTCTGGATTCTTTTTAATTATCTTTCTTCTGATTTCTTTGATTGTGGTTTCTTGATCCTTTCATTTTCCGACAGACATTGAAAAAAATTATTTTTGTCACAAAAACGTTTTTTTTTAAAATTTTGGTAAGGTCTTAATTGTATCCGAAGACGGTTTGATGTTAGTACATCTATTTTTACAAAAGAAAAAGAAAACCATGACTTATCAGTTTTCCTTTTTTCTTCTCTTAAAACTAAGCATTTATTGTTCTATATTCTGTCTTCAAACGAAATCTCTGAATTTAAAAACGTACATGAAAATGATTCATTTCAATAAGTCTCGGTTTCCGGATGGCGGTTAGCTTAAGGAACTGAACTTGATAACCAATGTGTAACTTCTAAATCGGGGAAAATTGTAAGCTATCAAACGTCTAAGGTTGATTCTTCTGAGCACAGATTTAAGATTCAAAAGTTTTGTCCTGTGGTTCATTAAATGTACTTTTTCTATTTTTCTATGAAAAGGTGGAAAGGGATATAAACTGAAAAAAACAAGTGTTTCCTAGACGTTAGATGCAATCATAGAACAATTTCTATATTTTTACTGAAATTATAAAGCCAGCCAAATAAAACTTAATGTTTAAAATTCAGAAAAACACAAACAATTTCTAGAGAACATCAAAGTTTATCATAAAGACATAATTGGGTTGCAAAGATATTGGGATTAGAAAGTCTAAGTTTCCATGGCAAAGACTTAATTTCTTTTAAAATTGACTCATTCTTCAAGAAAAGGAACTGAAAGGAACATCTTTACAGCTTCAGGAAAGGTTTTGTAAAGCCTTTACAGTTACAAATTGATCCATGGAACCCTGTAACTAAGAACCATTATACTGAAAAAGGTGACAAATAACTACTTTTTTTACCTGAAACCCAATACAGTCCCAGTGATGCGCTAGACTGGCAGATTTTCGCTTCCAGTATTCAAGGAATGTCACAGCTAAAATATTTAGATTTTTTTACACTCACTTAATCTTAACACAGGTCGGCGTTTCTATAAATACAATAAGGACAACTTTACTATTTAAAGGGACTGTAAAGGAAAAATGAAAAGGGGGTATAGGCTGAAACCTTAGAATCTCACGAGTTGAACGATACCTATAAGACATCTATCTGATGTTCCTGTCTCGAGAAATTTATAATAAAAACTGTGTCAAAATTATAACAAAACATATATATATGTAAGATATACGTCCGTATCACGTGACCAATACTCCATCCAATGACAGTAAAGTAAACTGGTCACATGATACTGACGGTGACACGTGACAATAATACTGCACTGCCATTGGTTGGTTGACATTGTCCGACCGTATAATACTTTAATACTACGAATCTTATACAAAATCTTACCTATATGCGTTTTGGTATAATTTTGACACAGTTTATATCAATTTCTCGAAACAAGAACATCAGATAGAACTCTTATCAGCTCTTGAGATTCTCAGGTTTCAACTTATACCCCCTTATATATTTCCTTTACAGTCCCTTTAAGCTTTTTTCAAATTACAAGTTTACAAACAAAGAAAAGCCATTTTTTGACGATTTCCATTTTCCATGTTTATGTGCATCCAATTGCTGTTTTAAATGCTTGGTAGAAATTAAAATCGAAAGTCGTCTTCATTGTATTGATATGTACGTCAAAGACTGCATAACTTGACTGGCTTGTCTGCATCTTTGTTTGTTTACATGATTCTACGGCAAAATGGCTGAGACTACCAGGCCCATATTTTTTTGTGGCAACTGATCAAATGACCAAACAAATCCTGTGAGAGTAAAAGCCCATTTTTTGGTAAATGAATATCAGGAGACGTTTGTCTGTACAAAAGAGTTTGTGTCTGTGAAAATGTACACAGTTGTATAATAGATACAGGGTTACCCGCAAAGGATGAGACTGTAAAGACGACCTTAAACTCTTAAAATAATACAATCCCAATGTTAAAAAAGTATTGTATTGCAAATAATCTTTAAATTTCTTATTTAATGATTTGGCAAAGAAAGGAACGAGTAGCAGGGGCGTATTCAGGAATTTGTCCAGGGGGCTTCATTATTTTTTCTTTCCAGGAGAGGCTCAGCACATGTTGGGGCCTGAAAACCCCCTGAAATCAATAGATTTCACTGGTCCAGGGGGGGGGGGTTAGCCCCCACCCTCTTCCCTGGAATACGCCTCTGACAAGTTTATAGTGACAGGGAATCGTAGATATAAAGAAACAGATTGTAAAAATTATAGACTAATTAAAATAACAGATAGGACACTAGATGTCGTCTTTTCAAGATTTGGATGAAACTCGTTCACAATACCCTGAGGCAAAAGCCCAGATGAGTTTCGCGTAGTCGGCGTAGAATTACGGGACAGAAGACGACATCTAGTGTCCTATCTTATATTTTAATTAATCTATGGTAGAAATTATATACAGTCGTCATTGAAGTCTCATCATTTGTATGTAACCCCGTAGGTATACAGAGAACATTAATATCCCAGTATAACCCCGTAGGTAAACAGAGAACATTAATATCCCAGTATAACCCCGTAGGTATACAGAGAACATTAATATCCCAGTATAACCCCGTAGGTATACAGAGAACATTAATATCCCAGTATAACCCCGTAGGTATACAGAGAACATTAATATCCCAGTATAACCCCGTAGGTATACAGAGAACATTAATATCCCAGTATAACCCCGTAGGTATACAGAGAACATTAATATCCCAGTATAACCCCGTAGGTATACAGAGAACATTAATATCCCAGTATAACCCCGTAGGTATACAGAGAACATTAATATCCCAGTATAACCCCGTAGGTATACAGAGAACATTAATATCCCAGTATAACCCCGTAGGTATACAGAGAACATTAATATCCCAGTATAACCCCGTAGGTATACAGAGAACATTAATATCCCAGTATAACCCCGTAGGTATACAGAGAACATTAATATCCCAGTATAACCCCGTAGGTATACAGAGAACATTAATATCCCAGTATAACCCCGTAGGTATACAGAGAACATTAATATCCCAGTATTTGTACGTTACAGTCTAGGGCAATACCAGTAATTTACTAGTATTCATGTTTTAATGGTTTAATGTTTATTATTCTCAAGTCTGTCCCATGCTATTCACTTAATCCTTATATTCTTGATGAATATATGTTGGTAAATAAACTATATTTACTTCATCCTTATATTCTTGATGAATATATGTTGGTTGATCAACTATTTACTTAATCCTTATATTCTTGATGAATATATGTTGGTAAATAAACTATATTTACTTAATCCTTATATTCTTGATAAATATATGTTGGTTGATCAACTATTTACTTAATCCTTATATTCTGATGAATATATGTTGGTAAATAAACTATTTACTTCATCCTTATATTCTTGATGAATATATGTTGGTAAATAAACTATTTACTTAATCCTTACAATCTTGATTAATATATGTTGGTAAATAATCTATGTACTTAATCCTTATATTCTTGATGAATATATGTTGGTAAATAAACTATTTACTTAATCCTTATATTCTTGATGAATATATGTTGGTAAATCAACTCTTGTAAAGTTGGCTAGAGACAGATTCCTATATAGAAATGATATATCATATCATACACATTCGACTGCAGGATATATCTTGATAACTTGATACCAAAACATAAGTATATCGGATATAAACAAACTGACAAGCAAAGTTTATATATAGATTTATATTTTCGTAAACTACTGAAAGAGGAAAGTTGTTTTTAATCTTTGTGACAGAAACAATCTCAAGAACTGACGAGATGGCATTCAACTATCTGCATGATATATTCTTGCATATACTCTATATATATACTTTCCTTGTCGATGTCTGTCTGTCTGTTCTGTTTGTCTGTCCAATAAATGTCAATACGGCTGAACCGATTGGACCCAAATTTTACGTGGGACCTCATATGACCCCGGCCCAGGAAGGTTTATGGAACATCAAAAAATTTAAATTTCTCTAAAATAGTTAGAATTTATAATTTTTTGAAAATCTGCCAATTTAAAAATGATTTAAAATGGCCGACTTTTAGAGCTAAAATTATTTATAAAGAGGGGGTCACGAAGCGCCCTAAAACTAACTAATATTCTAAACTATACATAGAAAAAAAATGGATATTTTCACCCAGAACTTTTATTTTATTTAAACTGCTATAAATGAAGATATATGCTACTAAAAAGATAAAGTTCTACAGAAACTTTTCAAGAAGATTTGTTCTACAGTGAGACGAGACTACAATCAATCGTTTTTATTTGGTTTTAACTAAGACATGAATTTATCCGGCTACTATAAATTTAGTTTCTATAGATTTAGTTTAAAACTCTCAGCAGATGACTAGTGGGGACTGTAGAACTTTATCTGATCAATATTCTAGAAGATATTGTCACTTTAATAGGTTTAAAAGTGTTAAATGCTCATAACTTTAATATGCTTTCCTTTAGTAGAAATACGTATAGTTACTTTTGTTGAGAAATCACAATAGAAAATAACCATCTAACTCATGCCTGATCAGACAAAGCTTTGGAGGTTACTAATGTGAATCGGACATTGCCAATCTTTGCATTGAGGATCATTTTGAAACACACACGCAATTTAAACTGGCTTAATTCTAACCAATTCTAAAATCATATCAAAATGTCTGAAAATTTGTACATCAGTTTCTCCCATGGGACTGTTATTATGTCACTTTCTATTAAGTAAACTTGACTCAACTTAATCACCATCAATTCACAACTTGTGATAGATTTAATTCAAAATATTAATTGAAGAATTTGCAATCAAGAAACTAAATTATGAAATCCGTGAAATCTAAGAAAGTTTTTATTCTAAATTTTCCAAGATTGATTGATACAATCTCCCATCGTCAATTATTCCAAAAAGGTTTTGTATCGAAGCATCAATTTATCTTTACTTGGTTCTCAAGCATTTGTATCTCTATATTCCATCCTAACTTTGTTCTCCATCAGTGAAGTCACAGTGAAAAAGAGAAAAACTTCATTTCGAAGTAGCAAGTATAGCCGGCCAAACGGCTGGACAGATTGGGCTGAATTTTTTTGTGGACACTCAAGGGTGGCCGGGGGGTGTTATAGGCTAAAAAAATTAGATTTTTTTTTCAAAATATTTTTATTTTTTTATAAAAAAATTTTTTCAATTTTTTTTCAAATTTATTTTTACGGGCAACGCCGGGCCGTTCAGCTAGTATAAATAATCATGACGTTTTTCTTTAACTTTTTTTTCGTTGGAAAATTATTAAGTTTGAATTGCGGTTTTATTAAGTATTTTCTTAAGTTTAAGAAGATATTGAATTTGTTCTTTATTTTATTTTTGTTTTGTTTTAATTCTTTTTTTGTTAAATTTTGAACACCAACTTTTTTCATTCTATTTGATTTTTTTACTTCTTTGCCTTAAATATAATTTTATAGGAATCATGTACATGTGTATCAACTCCATAAATATATTTCTATGCAAGACGTCCCAAAAAAATAGTAATTTGGGTCGAAATTCTTTTTTTTGGACATTTTATCAAAATAGTCTAAATAAATTTCATAAAAAAACTATTTCTCCTAAAAAAGCTCCTTTCCTAAAAAATACAGGTTTCCATGGAACCCGCATTTTTTGAGACACTCTATATGATCGAATATGTATAAAAACATTTCTGGGTTAATAAATTAGTCTGGTTTAATGTCTGAACCTGTCTGCAGATAAAACATATTTTTCCAGATTCTTTTCCCAAAATATGTTTATTCCGGGAAAAAACAATTTAGTCTGAAAGGAACCTGAAATAAACAGCTTTTTTACATATCGCTTAACCCTATAAAGGCTGGAGGTTGGAAGTTATATTTAGCTCACCCTCCCCCCCCCCTAAAGAACAAGGCTTTAGCGTAAAGGTATAGATTGGCAATGCATGTTTAAAGCCCAATCTCAAGGCCTTTATAAGGCCTCAATAAAATAATAAAACTTTTATGGTTAGAGAGCTAGGAGGGTTTAAAAAACTGGCAATGGAAAATTGTAAAAAATTTTATTTTGTGGTTGACAAATAATAAGCGTGTCTACCAGTTTCAAATATACCTATCGACCTGCACCTTTAAACAAATTCTTCAAATTAATATTTCCAAAAAACGTCAAGAAATTTTAAAGTGATAGTATCAAGAATTTGTAGGGTGAACAAACAAACAAACAAAACATGAAAATCAACTGAATGAATCTAAGACGAATATTAAAAAAACTTCCAACCAAACTTATCTTACCGCCGCATGAACTATCAAACTAGGCCAGCCAAGGTTGTATAAAAAGTTAATGCGCTCAAAAGTATGGAAAATGTCGTCTCCTAAGATAGATAGATAAAAATCTAATATGACGTTAAATATTAGGTTTATATCCATCTATCTTAGAAGACGACCTTTTCCGTACATTGCAGTAATCAACCTTATTATACAACCTTAAGGTCAGCAGTTCCAACTGTACTGTATCTGTATCTGTATCTGTATCTGTATCTGTATCTGTATCTGTATCTGTATCTGTATCTGTATCTGTATCTGTATCTGTATCTGTATCTGTGTATCTGTATCTGTATCTGTATCTGTATCTGTATCTGTATCTAATTCTAATAGCGACCTCCTCTGAATGTCCTACATAATTGTATAAATGATTATTCGGAAAAGAGCTGTCTTTCGATGATGTCATAAACTATGTTATGTATGACTAAATGTTTCCTGGGTGGCGATTGTGGATTGAACTTTTTCTATATATACTTTGTTTGTCTGTCTGTCTGCCTGTTTGTATCCAATAACTGTCAAAACTGTTGAATGGATCGGGCCCAACATTTTTGGTGAGACCTCACCTGACCCCAGGGGAGGTTTATAGATGATCGAATATTCAAAAATTTGCCTCTAACAAAATTCGATTTTTGAAAATTTTGAAAATCCTCGAAATTGTTTATTTTACAATGTATACAATTAAAATAGAGGAATGGGCGCGAAGCGCCCTGAAAGAAGATTCCTTTACATTATAAAAATTCACATACCCCAGAAAGACATAAATACTGCATAGAAAACGGTTCCTGGATGATCAAAGAGATAGGCCAGCTGTGTGTAGAAACAAATCTAAAATAGAAAAGTTGAAATTATAGAAATTGAAAAAAATTCCAAAAAAATGTTTGTTTGTTTTTTTCTCTGATTTTAAAAATAAAGAATAGTTTAAAATAAAACTTGGCTTGATCTACATTGAAGAAAAGAACATGCATATTTCATGATTCGGTTTTCAATTGGAAGAAATTCGCTGTTTTATGATTTCAAAATAACTCAAAAGAAATTTTTTTTTAAATTTCGTGTCACACCTTATCTTCTCTAGAAAATATCATGTTGGATTCAGTCTCTAATAAAAATGTTAAAAATTAAATGAGTTAGAACACGAAACCTTAAAACAGGATACACAAAGATATATTACGAAACATTATTTAAACCTTAACTCAATTTAATTTTCAATCATAGTACATACATTACAGAACAGTAACAGTGAACACCCATCCGGGGGCACATACATGAATTTGCATTTTCTTAAACTTTACAGTTTAATTCCATTAGTTCCAATGGGAACAACGTTTTTAATTATTTAGGGGGGGGGGTCTTCTTTGCCCCAATTGCCCCCCCTCAGTACAGTGTACACCCCTTGTAATCACCTGATGTAAGGACCATGTACTACAGTTCTCACATAGTGGACACATAGTAACACTAAATATAAAAAGACTTTTTATGAAATGAAATAACAAAAATGTCATTTAATTTTTTCCAATCTTTTTTTTAGAGAAATATAAAGTTTTAAGAAAATTGAATAAGAAAACTGTTCAAAAGTCTAAATTCTATTTGTTTGATAAAAGTAATTTTTTTTTTGCTGCTTTGACGCAGACTTCTTGAGCAATAACATAAATAAAAACAAAATATCAGTTTAATGACGACATGTTAAGGACTCGCATGCACGTTTTCCAAACCAAATATGTTTAGTCTCACAGTACAAATTCCATTTTAAGAAACTCTTGCAGAAAGTGAAAGGAAAAGAAAATGAGATCTTTTAGAGTATGGAAAAAAATAAAAAAATTTTATTTATCGAGAAGGTTCAAGCCTTTTTAGACTTAATTTTGTCCCGAGCTTTAGCGAGGGAAAAAATATAATCTAAAAAGGCGAAAACCTTCGAGATATAGAGAAAATTTCTGTCCAAAATCTTTATAGCACGTCTACCAAAATAATAGTCTTATAGGTAATTTTATGAAACGTTTGTGTACTTGTCTTATTTAAATGGCTATTTCTAGATCAAATAAGCTTTGAAACAATTTAGAAGTCAAATTATAAGGTTGGTTTCAATTTTATTTCATTTCAATTCAAAAAAAGTATTTTGGAAATATCCTAAAGAAATTGAGTTTTTGACACAAACTCTGATTTTCTAAACCTTATATCTTTATATTATTATATCAAATGGCCTTGATCGTTCCATAGATTGACTACAATATCAGATTCACCATTTGAAACTCATCAAACCTTTTGTATCCTTGTTTTATATCTAAAAAGTAATGATTTTTGTATAAGGTTCTCTGTAAAAGTAACTTTTGGATTTGCGCTGCAGGTAAGGAAGAACATTGACAGAATTGATCTCTTTCTTAGATAGAAAATAGTCCCTCTGTACTTTCCTCTATGAACGCCACTGCATAATAAAAAGCACCAATTTTTTTTTATTTAATACACATGCTAAGCACTTAATTATCGAATCCGATTTAAATAATTTTCATTTTCATTCATATTCATATTTTTAAGCAACTACAAAGCATGAGATATTTCAAATAAGCAATCACATTTTTTTTGTTCAACAGATTGACAGTTTTCAGAGAACGCTTCAATTTCAATTAGGTTTAACTTTTGAACCGAATAAAAATTGTCTAATAATACTAGAAGTATAAGTTTTGTTTAATAAAATCCTACATTCCTTCGATCATTCTCAAAATAATCCATTTTTAGTTGAGAATAAACAATTTCCTTAGTTTAACTCATTTGTTTAAGTACCCCTCCATCTAAAGAGTCACATGTCCAATTCACAACGATACCCTTTAAATATTCATATAATTTATGCAAAAATAAATATTGTTTTGGCTGAAAATTATCATTCGCGGATTTTATGCAACTGAGACGAAATTTACAATCAGAGTCGATTGTTTGGAATTTGTTTAGTCCATTTTCTTGAAGGACAAAAATGGCTTATTTCTGTGCTTAATAATTTTCTAAACCATTATACTCAATTGAGTGCAGAAACCAAGATTCAAGCTTCAAATTTTTAGAGTTTTGGGTCGTCTTTATAGTCTCGTGCTTAGTGCGTAATTCTTTATCTCCCTCCTTGGTGTGACTCATGTTAAATAAATGGTCACTTATAATTAATTCGACATCGCTTTTATATGAAATTGTAAAAATCCTTGAAAAAATGTTAATAAAATTCTTCAAACTGTTTCATATCATAGAATAAACTATTTTATAGACTAGAAAATAATGAGAGAACATATATTTTTATATTTATATCCTATAGACACAATACAATAAAAACAATGAAAAGATAATATTATCTCATATTTGACAAGCTATTGAGATATTTTTCTATAAAACACGAAGTGAAAATAATAAGGAAAATTTTTTCCAAAAAATACAATTGAATCTCTTTATTTTTGTCCAGTAGGTTTTTTACTTTGAGAGAATGAAATAAGTTCTCTTTAATGCTGCAAGAGTGAGACAGGAACTTTAAGGGAGTGCTTGAATCTAGGAATGGGCAAGGAAGTTTATAAAAATCATCAGAAAATTCTGTTTAAAAACGCAAAAAATGATTATTAGTACTAAATCAACAAAAAGAACAAATAATTAAAAAACAACACATCAACAATTTTGTTAATTTGTCTGTCTAAATCAATCTACATTGATCCCATGTGGATAAACGTGTATAGTTGACCACACACTAGCTAAGACCTGCTGGTACGAGTGAATGTATGTGCGGTACCGATTATACCAGACCCGTAAATCCATGTAAATCCATGTACCTGGTCACAACAAACTGTTAATTTTGGGAAGTTGCAAACTTTCATTGAAATCAGTGATAACAAGAAAACTCTCAAATAGGAAGACGACTTTTAGACACAAGTTATACTTTGAATAGTCCAATGAGCATAGGAACAGGAATTGTGGTGTTTAAACAGACCCATATAATTTAATTTAAAACTTTTTGTTTTGTAACAACATCAAATACATGCACTTAAGTATTGCTATAAGTTGTGTTAGCATTCCAGCGTTTTCTGGTTTTTAGAACAATGCAATTACGTTAATAGATTAATGAATTGGTATCCGTTGAAAACTATTGGCAACTGGTTAACAAACAGTTATCCAGATTGAAAAAGTGCTAATGTTCCCAACCCTACTTCTCATGGGCTTAGGAAAAGTACAGAGTGTTTTCAGAGTTTTTATTTAACTTTAACCTACTTTATATAGTTTTAATTTAACTTTAACCTACTTTATAAAGTTTTCATGTACAAACCTACTTTATATAGTTTTTATTTAACTTTAACCTACTTTATATAGTTTTCATTTAACTTTAACCTCCTTTATATAGTTTTCATGTAAAAACCTACTTTATATAGTTTTTATTTAACTTTAACCTACTTTATATAGTTTTCATGTACAAACATCAAAAGAAACTAAAATATGTCAAATATGTTCCTTTTTTAATACTTTTTGGATAAATTTTATTTCTATTAAAAAAACAATTATAGATTAAGAAAATTCTGGATTCAGGTATGAACTTTATCATTTGCATTTCTAAGGCATCAAAGCATTTAAAATTCTGTTTCAAGGCTTCTGTTTGGTTCAGTTTGGTTCAATTAAATATGAGGAGTTTGCCAAAGACTCATCTGAATAAAAAATACTTCAGGACTAAATGAGATTTTTATTCTAACCAGAATCCCCCCCTCCAGCTAATATATTTCACCCAAAGATAAATATTTTATATCCTGTTCTCCAAAATTTACTTAACCAAGCAAAATAAATTGCTATACGTTCTCTGAAATTTACATGACCAAGCAAAATAAATTGCTATCATTCAATGCACGTTTTGTGGTTCCCAGATACCACACTATCTGTTCTCCGAAATTTAGATAACCAAGCAATATAAATTGCTATCCATTCTCTGAAATAGACCTAACCAAGCAAAATAAAATGCTATCTGTTCTCCAAAATTTACCTAGCAAAGCAAAATAAATTTCTATCCGTTCTCCAAAATTTACCTGACCAAGCAAAATGAATTGTTATCCGTTCTCCAAAATTTACCTGACCAAGCAAAATAAATTGCTTTATGCTCTCTAAAATTTACATGACCAAGCAAAATAAATTGCTATCCATTCTCCAAAATTTACCTAACCAAGCAAAATAAATTGCTATCCGTTCTCCAAAATATTCTCTGATATGATCCAAAGGTTGATACTTGTACCATCTACCCCATCTAAAATATAATATATATTTTTAACTAATTCAATTAATGGGACTGTGAACGTAGTTTCAAATGATCCACCAGCTACAGAGTGGAATGATCAACTCAAAACAGTACCATTCAAGTCTAGAAAGATATTTTTCAATCTTGAATTTTGTATATTACATTTTTTATCTCTGCTGCATATACCCGCAATAGATTGAAAAGTCGCAAACATACCCTTTAAAGTAATGTCCAACCATGGTTAGGCTATAAATGGAGTACCAGGAAAGCGTACACTATCTTGGAGTGTTTACTGTGACCGCGAATTCCTTTCCACTCCATTTTCAGCTGGAAAATTAGGATTTTTTCTGCCGTCGATGATAAGATCAAGGTTTGAAGGATACCAATTGTTTATCGGTCATCCCATTGTACAAATGAAGGATCATTTTAAATTATGTCCTTGGCACCTTTTATGTCTGGTTTAACGCAAATCAATAACCTTTAAGTATATTTTAGCTTTTTTGAAAAAAAGATAATTTGTTTCCATTTTATCAATTTTCATGAAGAAAAACACAAATAACTCGTTTATGCTCAGACCAAGGCATGAAAATGAAGTATAAGCGAAATTACACCAACTGTACCTTTAAACTAAGCAAAGAAAGGCTTATTATGTAAAGGTATTGAATGCCTGTAATGAGCACTGCAGTATTATAGATATATGCACATTCGGCTTTTTTTCATGCCGTTCATTCATAGTTTTTTCATCCTGCTCGTTCATAGTTTTTTTTCATCCTGTTCGTTCATAATTTTTTTATTCCCTTCATTTATAGTTTTTTCATTCCGTTCATTCATAGTTTTCTTCATCCTGTTCATTCATAGTTTTTTCATCCTGTTCGTTCATAGTTTTTTCATCCTATTCATTCATAGTTTTTTGTTCCATTCATTCATAGTTTTTTCATTCAATTCATTCTTAGTTTTTTCGTTCATTTTCTCAAAATTATCGTTCTTGTTTTTTTGTTTTTAAAAAAGCCTTTTTTTTTTCTTTAAACGGTTCAAGTCGTTGGTCCATTGTTCGTTTTTATACTATGCACATCTCTAGAAGTATAAGGTTTTAACCCACCTGGCCCAATATTGGTAAAGAACTTGTCTAGGATTTAGATCAGATGCCGGGAAACTACTGCCAGGAAACTCATATGTACCCTAAACAGTACATTATCACTCAGATTTAGCATTTATACATGGGATTTTTTGTAAATATGTTCAATAATTGTAAACAAAATATATGTGTAATGTACATATATATGTACACTGTACAGTAACAGTTGTTATTTTTGAAATGTACCAATTAAAACATAAAAATTGGCGAAAACAATTAAAAATTGGCGACTTTCAGAGCAACAGTAAAAGTAAAAATTTTAATAGTAAATGGGTCTAGTTTGTTATATTTTATGCAAAACATTCACTAAATGATGTATCATTTCAAATATATTAACAATTTCTTCAAAATAAAACGGAAAAAGGTAATTTTTTTAACTCATTTTGTGAACTTATTTTTTACTTGATATTCAAAGCCTAAATCTCCCCTAGATCAGTTGAAGAGATCTGACGAAAGAAGACAAATCTTATAGCTCTTAATGGCTTATAGGATAAGCCTCTATCTCGGAGTAAAACAATTGAACCCACATTGAGAGAAGGATTACTCCTGTCAAGATTGGTTTTTCCTTTCTTGACATTTTAAATTCAATGCAGTAACTGTTAAAAAATTAATCATTTTTTGGCAATATTTGAAAAGATTATCGACTAAACTACTTTTTTAGTTTGTACACATAAAACATTCTAAAATTACTTCCAAAATGTAATTCTAAAAAATTAATAAAAGTTTAATAAACTATAAAGCCATTTATGTAATCCTTGTTTGATTATATAAGTTGCTGTTTACATATCAAGTGTATTTATGCAAAATTTATGCTAATAACGAATATGTTTAAGCGAATGTAAATATAGAAACCATTTTCATATGATCCTCCAGCGATATGAGAAAATATTAAATTATAAATAGGACTGAACCCTTCACAGAGTGTATACTCTTTAAAACTTCATATAATAAATAATATGAAAGATATAACTGTTTTAATAACTTGAAAAGTGTTTAATTCTGGTTATTTCCTATATTATTTCTGTAGCAAAAATTCGCTATGGGCACTTTTGTAGAGAAACCAAAATAGATGACCTTCCAGCTTCCATGCAAAGATGGCAACGCTCGATCAACTTTCATCAATGTTTGAATAAAATTTATTGTTTTCAATTGTGGGTTCTTTACAAAAGTGACTTGCGCATTTCTATCGCAGAAAAATAGGAATTATCAGAAACAATCACTGTTGAACCTAGAAAAACGATACTATCTTCCTCAATATAAAGGTTTCAAGAGTACCGATGTTAATCAGACATTGCCATCTTTGCATGGAGGGTCACTTAAACATTTCTCTTACAGTCCCTTTAAGGGAAAGCCTGGAGTTAATAATAATTTCCGATTCAAGCAAACTTATTTCCCGGAAATACATGGGAATATTCTAATAGGAACATAGGAAGGAAGAATATAATATAATATCTATTTTTACAGTTATAAGATAAAGATTATTTAAAACTGAAATATTTAAGCAATATAACAGTACTGCAGTTTCCGGGTGCAATGTAAACACACGCAGAGGCGGTTTCAGAGATTATCGGTTGAATGAAACTCCAGAGAACTTTTTTGAGGTCTATGATGGACCAACAGCATGTAAAACGTTTAAGCTGCGGAAAAACCCGCTATTCCACGCACCTCTGCCCCTTTAGTAAAAGTAAATTCAACCTATATGAAGCATAAAGTCTGACCGTGTCAACCTTGTTGCACCAGCTAGTCAGGTCAATAGAGCTATGTACAATACAAACTGGGACCAGAAAGGTTGACCCAGCTCGGAAATTCTAAAGTACTACGACTGCCCGTGATTCGATCAGAGGTTAAGTTTTTGCGATATTACTAATATTACCACTTTTAGACGATATTACTAGTACCACTTTTAGACGACTTTCAGACTCAAGTAATGACTGTTAACTATTTTCTCGAGTCACATTTCAAATGTTGGGCCTGCTTTGGGTAACATAATCATATATCTCTAACATATTACGCAAGTTACATCTTTTTAGGTGTAACGTGGTTTGGTTCTGTTTGTTAGTATGTTTGAATTCATGTCAGATCATAAGTCAGGCACCCCTTTACCGAATAGACTTAAATTCGAGAAAACCACGGGTATTTCTTTCGCTTGGTTTAAAATTGTAAAATGAGTAAATAGACTTTCTTAGAGAAAATTCAGTTTCCAGGGAAAGCTGGTTTCCCCCGTTATGTATATATATGTTTATATTTAATTGTCTTACAAGCTATAGTAAATTACATAAATTCGATCGTGTCAATAGATATAAAGCTGTCGTACTAATTGTTAATGAATTACTATTACAGGGTTATATATTACTTACATTGAGCAAATGAAGAAATAGAAGTCGAATTAGATTCATGATTGATTACATGGGTACATATTACATACATATATTGAACAAACATTTAACTTTTATAGTTTTCATTTAACT